TCGCAGATCGTCACTCAGCAGTCGCCGCCCTCCACACATTGGGAGGCACTTTCTAATTTTGCGACTAGTCTCTTTCAGGACGGCGGCTATTCCTGGCATTGGTCTACGGCTAGTTAGGCTCTAAGATAAAATTGATAACCTGCTTCCCAGTTTGAAAGACAGTGCTGTAATCGTGGAGCAATCACCGCTTACTGCACTTCAGCATTACTCAGCTGCGCTCAGACCTAAAACCACAATTGACTTTCTACACAATAGGCCAAAGGAATTTAATGACGCCGATCATAGGTATACTATTCATTCGATAATGCATTGTAATGTCTTATCCTATTATAAGTCAACTTTTTCCCTCTTATTCTCTCCGTTCCTAATCTTTGTCCACTTGTATAAGCCCTTTGTATTCAAATGAGATGAGAAATCGATTCATCAAACACGGGAAAGTGTAGGCTGGACAATGAAACGATGTCGGTGTCATGCTTCGTGAATTGTGCAAATACTGTACTTGGGTGATTGATTACGTTCTGTGCGGGAGCGAACATCTGGCGGAAAGTTCGGTCCCGATTACGGCGAACGCCGAATGACCTTGTGACATGCATTCGATGCGAATCATGTGTTCGTGCTCCACTTGATTCCGATCGATGTCGTCCATAAAAGGTCACCTGTCATCGTGTTCCCAATCTCTGGATTGTGACCGGGACTCGTCGCAATTCGTCTTATCTCGGTTCAGTGATCCGTTAAAACAGCTGAATAGTGGAATGCCGAGAAAGGTCATCGTTCCATAAGGTGCTTTTGCCACAAAAACAAACAATGTGGGTGGTCTCGTCATGATCAGCTGCTTGTTGTATGGTCTTTTCCAGTGATCTCCGTTTAACAGGTACAAAATAACATGGTTGAATCCAACCTGGGATGACGAAGAAAAAATGGTCCCTTCCTTCCATCATATAAATTCTACGGAACATTATTATATACGTTTCTGCCGATTAGGACAATATGCCACATCTATAAGTCGATGATCTATGGCTAAACAAAAGAAATATCAATCACATAGCAGGTTTTAGAGACTAATGGATGTTCAGGCTAATGGCTCATGGCATGGGCTGTCTGTCCCGGAAGCACTGCATTGACACATAGCTTCCGCAAACACGTAGCCATATTCACGCATATTTACATGTGGATGCTTACGTATCCACGGGTTGTATCCTGTACCTCTATCCGGATAGATCCAAGACGACCGTAAGTGCCGCTTGTGACATACCTAACCTTTCGCCGAATAAGTCAGCGAGCTGCCCATGGTTAAAATATCCTTTGGTTAAAAGCCGTCAAGGTGGACCCACTCAAGTCGCTCAATAACCAACGAACACCATAGACGGCACAGGTGATGCATAACAAATCTCCGTCTCTCTCTCTTCTCCTTCACCCCTGTTGGGATTAATTCCAATCCTTGCGGAGCAGTAGAGCTCAGACAACTGTCACCACTCATCCGGATATTATTCAGTTCTAATTTATCATAGTAGGGCTATCAGACAGATAACAGGTTATTAATCAACCTGCCGCCGGGTGGGTCGACGCGGTCAAATGTGCTTTGCAGGACCATCACTGGCCACCGTTGAAACAACGACTCTGCCGTTAATCCAGTTAGCAACGAAGCCGGCGGCCGGACAATGATATTGATTCACATTTCCTTTGCATAAGCTGCTGGCAACAAAAATTAACAAAAACCTACCCACTGATTACCCACGTTAGTTCAGCCAAAGCCAGGAATTTTCCAGTACTTCATAGTGATAGGAGGTATCGATCCTCGCGTGTTCGGCGATCCTGCACTGCACAGTCGCCGGTAGAAGTCGCGCGTGCTCTCTGACCCAATCGTTCGCGGCCGCTCCCGTGTGTGCTGTTTCGCCCACGAGATGACTCAGCCCTGTCAGAGCCCTCGCGGCCTGGCAGGTGTTTTCCCGTGAATCCTGGCCATCAACAATGGGTCGCTTGGTTGACGAGTCGCTGTTTCGGCAGCACCGACTGGTTCCGGGGACACCCTAGAGTTCGGAGCCGTGCGTTCAGTCTCAAAGCTCCGCTCCATCGGGCTCCATGCCCTGGACACTCCGTCGTGAGCCACCGTCGCTTCGTTCGAACCGATATCGATCGGTCTGCTATTGGCGGCTGCTAATCCTCACGTCATGTCGGCTGCAGCGACCGCAATCCCAGTCGCGCGCACAACTGTCGGCAGTTCAGTACTCGATGGCGGAGCATCCCCGCCTCAATGCTGTTTTTTGCACAGCTTTCTCACCCACATGCTTGTTTGCCGTTTTGTTATCGTCCTGTAGAGCGTTGTAAATAAGTTTAGCAGTTGTCGTATAGCTCTCTATCGAGTTAGCAATCGTTTTCGTTGTCATGTTGCCGACCAACGATCAATGTTCCGGCACAATTGTCGTCCGATTCCCACGGGATATGCTGTGAGCGACAAATTATGTGCTTTTCTTGACACTCATTCATTTGCTACACGTTCATCAGCTGGAATTTTCTGCTTTGTCTTCAACAATGACGTTAAACTAACCCACCTGGTATCCTCTTCCATACTTTATTACATCACTGACTCGCTTCCTGAATGCCATACCCTAGAAAAAGCTGCACTTTTGAGTGTTATCGAGCGTTTCCAGTGTCTGTGTCTTCTCATCTGTGTTTTTTCCTCGTACATTTGCAATTAAGGCCAAAATTAGCGCTGTATTCCTCAAGTGCAAACTTACATATGATCAGAATATTGCTTTCATTTAAGAAGACTCAATTGCTTCGTATGAAACACAGGATGTTCGAGAATACTGACGATGAATAACGTATACTGAAGTGCTTGAATAATCTTATCACGCAGTACTTGAAGAAGGTACTTTGGCTGCTTGGTAGCAGTGCTGTCGTGTTCTCGCCTTTAGAATTTCGCTCTAAACTTACGTCTTTAACTTGTTTGATTTAAAACATTATAGCTGTCGTTCATGGAACGATCAGGGACTTGTATCCTAGCAATCGCTAGGTAGAGTGGTACTGCTGAAACTACATCAGTATTAGTTTTTCTTCCAACTTGAGCGAGTTTCATAGTACAGCTTCTTACCTCGTTAGTAACGATGTAATTAGATTCAGATTTTACACAACGCCTTCTTAGCAATTCAAATTCGTCTGTTCTCTTATTAGAAAAGTTATTTTCGTGTCGTTTCATTCTGTCGGTGACCATTCACTTTCATCCCAATACTACTCAATTTAAAACTACAGTAGTACATGATCAGTACTGCCTCAGTATTCCACATCTACTTTGTGTGGACGTGGCACCCATGAATGCTTGTCTTGTTCAACGAGGAGCCATTTCTGTTGTGTTTGTGTTCCTTGGGATTTTTCGTGCAGTTTTTGAGCTCTCCTTTGAGGTAGATCACTATCTAAATGAACTTATAAGTTCGGTATGGGGACGTTGCATGAAAGCCCATACTTTGTTTAGGTTCCAACAAATCGATTTGTATAGTTCCCTCAATGATAAGCCGACACTAGAATGACATCAAACCCTATTCGACCATCTTCGTCTTCGTGTCAGCTTGTCAGTGAAGAAAATAGACATTGATTGTTCGTGCTGAGGTTAAATTAAAGTCGTTTTAAAAAGTGTCACTTCGCACTGTTTTAGTTTTGAGCGCGTATCTTTCTTTGTATCGTTTGTTCGGCTTTTTCTTTCTTTCTTTCTTTCCTTCTTTCTTTCTTTCTTTCTCGTTGACGAGCAGTCTTCAGTCTACCCATCTCGCCCGTCGAAATTCACTGTTTCCTTTTTGACTGAACACCGACGGTGCCCACGTTCGATTCTCTGTCTGGAATTAATCAGTGATTCTGATTCACGCTCACCGTCGTCAACAGCAGGGACATTATGCGTCTCGATTCGCTCCGAGACGGAAACCTCACGAGAAATTGAATGGGTCGTCTTAGGGTATTTCATGCTTGTCATTCCTCCATGTCTTTGTTTGTTCTGTCGAAAGTACTGCTAGCTGAGAGCACTGGCAATTCTACTGATGCCTCCACGATATAGCGTTCGTTGCATTTTCACGTCCTTTCTTTTCGAATCCACATCGGGGCTTTTCATTCAATTTTATCGGTATTTGACGAAGTTCCTGAGCTTTCAGTTCCATTAGCTGTTCTATTCATCATGACTGTTGCATTTCATCTCATCATTTTTTTTCCTTTTTCATTCATCGCTTAATTATGGATTGTCCGCTTTTATCGCTAAATGTCAAGATCAATAGGAAAACGTGTAATTTCGTGGAATGCTCTTTTTCTTTTCATTCCTGTTATAGTCATTTGGCATTAGGTTGCTAGGAGAACGTTTTTAAACGTGCTTTATACGCTATGTTAATGCTATTCTGTTAGTCCCAGTCGTCTCGAGTTTTTCTTTCCATTCACTTTTTTCCTTGTAGTGCTTATGTTTTTGCCATCGAAAACTGGGAGGCCTACGTTTTCTGCCAAGTTCACTCCTGTCAGAATATGATAGAAAGGCCAATAACCTTCTGCTGAGGGAAACATTCTAATCAGTGATTCGGTCGGCTACTGTTTTAGCAGCAGTGAATTCTCCCATTCATGTTTGTCTGTATGGGCATCATTTACAGAAAGCAAGATAAGACGACACTCGCTAATTCTTCGGAAGCAGCTCATTCCGTAGCTGAGAATCAACCTCACCAGAGCTCTCTTTCACTAATCAACAACCGTCCATCTGAACCAGCAGAAGCTCCACTGGAGGCGGAGCAAACGGAGGAAGTTAGTGCTTGCTTGCTTGCTGCCTAGTAGCTATATTCTCCTAAGTGTCGCTGTTTTGGTTCTGTGGCTATGTCTCTTTTTTCAGAAATCATTTTAGTACGCTAGGCGGAGTGTTTCATTTCCCTTCCCCTAATTTCTTTCAGGAGCCGGCGCTTCTTCAAAGGAACGGTTCTGGTAATCGTTTGTGGCCCGTGAAAACACACGAACACGTGAACATCTTTCGACCGAAACTCAAAATGCCTGGTGTTGAGAATTTCGTAAACAGTGCTAACGGCAACATTCCACACCCAGAGAAGATTTTCGGGGAAGAAAATGCTGTTTTGAGGGATTGGAACCCAAAAGCTCTTGTTAGAGCGTTATACGAGGTAGGGTTTTTGAGTAGTTATATCACTTCGTTATATCTTGTTTTAGGTTGTTTTTCTTTTCAAGTTCTGTTGAACTACCACTCATTTCTCATTTATGAATGTCCGAATATGAAACATTGGTTTTAATACGTGTATTATACAGCATTTTCTCCATATCCCTTTATGGTCCTGAACCTTTGTTAACGAAATTAAAAAGATAATAGCGTGCGCGGCATCTTGCAGTTACACAGTCTCATTGTCCGCTATACCTGTTTATGAGGAATGTTTGAACTGTTCATATTATGCACTGTATTGATTAAACGGCCTGAGACCGAAGATAATCTTGAAAGAATATGTTTCAATTTTCGGAATTCTAGGTGTCTTATGAGCCAAGAGTGGAAACCAAACGAAATCGGTTTGTCTATATGGAAGGCCACGTTGAGGTTCCTTCTGAAGAAACATCCACGGTGGCAGAGTTAGAGAGACATTGGAAGCAACTGTATATGCGAACTAAAGAGGGGAGATTACAAATTTTCGCGGTAGGTCTCATATATCCCATGATGGTTCATCGTGTTTGTTCTCTACTTCTTTTCATACTACTTTTTTTCACTTTCAGTCCCATTGTGCTGATGAAGCGCCCGCTGAAGAGATTGTGCTCTCCGGTGTCGATGTAGATGCGAATAGAGACGAACGAACACTTACTATACACGGTGGACGTGACCATATCAAATTGACTTTACGGTAGGATAACAAGCCTTTTCGAACGCTTTCTTGTCCTGTTGAGTTGGGCTGTTTATAATTTCGCCTTGTTGTGATTTTCTACATTTTACATACGTCTATTGCTTGGGTGCTACATTTTTATTCGTACATGAATTTGTTGCTCCCAAATCATTAGTGCAGCATCATTTTTCCATTGTTTGTTTACCAAGTCTTTGCTTGTTTCCCAGCTTTGTTTGTTTGGGTTCCGAATGTTATTCTAGCGATAAAACGTATCTCCATTGTTCATATGGCGTTCTATGGACACGTGTGGCGTAGTGGTCAGAGGTGCTCTGCAATACAAGTGGGATCGATTCCGGCGCCAGTGGCCCACCAAGCCTTCCATCCCCTCTGGGTCGGCAAATTGGTACCAGACTTGTCTGGGAAGATAGCAGCACTGGCTCGATACATTGGCATGCCACCCCGAGTGAAGGCCAGATATGCATTTGATCACCTCCAACGATACTTTATGAAGTCGAATGCATGGCGCATCCCTCAGGGATTGATCAACGTCGAGAGCTTCATCCTTCATGCTTTATGGCTTTCTACTTGTCAGCATGCCGTTCTGGGGGGAGGTGTTTACGACACTTCAGTAACGTTGTTTGCGTGCCGTTCTTGGTTTTTTTTTCCTAACTTCCATCCGGAAAACATCTAACGTATGAGGGTGGTAGATTTCTTGTTCTTGTGACGAACTGGTCGTTTGTTCTGTAACGATTAACAGAAATATTTTATTGTTTTGTTGTTTAGTGTAGGAGAGGAATAGGTCCATGTCAAAATCAGAGCCAGGTTTACGACTTATTATAATTTAGCGTACAATCAAACGTTTTCGACAAGTGGAGACACTCACTACTCTCCCATTCTGCCTCCTCGCAGATCGACGCGTATGTAAAACCGATTCCGAAGACGTTCCAACACCTCACCGAAGTAAGGACAATATTGTTTCAAAGTGTTTTTACATTTTCTGATCTACGTTATAAATTTGTCATACGGTTAGAATCTATGGAGAAAGCTTACAAAAGAATACGAAATAGGATAAGTACGAAAGAAAAAACAAAAGTGCAAAATATTTGCTGGACATGCTCGTGGAGGGCAAGCTTACTACATCGGTGTTAAAGTGCCTATAGTTGAAATTTAATGCTATCCTTTATCCATTCTTGGTTAACTTTAAGAATTTGTCATCAATACTTTTAATCATTTTGATTAGTTAAGATACTTGTGAAAACGTAGATTTTCTTTTTTCGAAAATTATCCACTTTTTTAGCGAGTGGTTGTTCTCGAACTTGGTTCATGCTCAATTCGTGGGGGCGTGTTAACAACGGAACCGAGCCTTCCACAATCCTTTTTTCCAGCCATCGCTGTGCGTACTGATGATGGCAGAATAATTGTTGGTGAAGATGCTTATGCTCCAGAGGTGAGGCCGTAATTAATTTCCAACAAAATAGGTTCCATTCTCAAATTTGAAGAAATGACGTTTTTAGATTCGCCATAACGGGGAGTTCGTTCGACCCATTCAAGCTTACGATCCTTCTGTAGAGAGGTACATAATGGATCATGAGGTTGTGAAAGCGTGTGTGCAAAAAGTTATCAAGGATCTCAATATTAAACCTTCAGCTTACAAAGTAAATTTTGTATTCGCTGTCGTAGTTTCATTACAAACTCATTGTGCTTCAGGTTCTCCTCTCAATACCCCAAAATATCCCAATCGCTCTAATTGGTGAACTACTTACACTGGTTTTGAAGGAAGCAGGATTCCAGGTACCTGTTTTCTCTTATTTTGTGTAACTTTTGAAGGTACATTTCGCAACGGTTTACCGCCTCGTTGTGGTTGCCAGGTGTTCCTGGGTGTCGAGCTGCGATATACACCGGGAAATTCATCCCCCAGCAAGGCCTCCCAAACAAACGAGTGCAACGTTTCCATTAGGAAACCCAGCTAAGAGTAAATACCCAGCAATACCAACCCCAGGATTCACCACCGTCCTGGTATCAAATTGATCGCGTGGTGGCAAATCTCTCTCTGATCCACAAGCGCGGCAACTACCTATGGTGCTGACGACCTGGGGCAAAAATTGGTTAGCCTGACTTCTAGAGTCTAGGGAACCACAATGGTTAAACCAGCAAAACTCTGAAAAAATGGAAATTAAACTGGGCCCCGCGCAACCAGTGAAAACGTGCCATCCAAGTATCCAAGTAAGTTCGAAGGTATAACTTGGATTGCCCTTTTCTAATGACGCAAGCCCATTCGTTTTTTACCCCTATTATCGTTGTCCATACTAGTCGTCCGGTTTGATATTATGACATGTGGAAGTGTCATTCCGTGATATGTGAAGCATTTACAGTTGCCAATAGAACTGATTGATGAGGGATGCAAACACTTGCACCCATTTTATATGTGATTGTCCAGGAGAACTTTGCATCTTCTTGGAGTTCATTCCACTACTCTTATCGTTCATTTGTCGTTTAACCTATGTACTAGCCATCTCTGTTTCGAACTTCACGAATTTCTTTTAACTTAAAGGCGAAATAGTTTTCGATGGTCTAGAATGAAAGATATCGTTAATGAATGAACTATGGAAAAGGTGGGAGCTTAGTTTTGGTTCCTACAGTTTATTGCTGGTTTTGCCGAGAGTCTCAAGTACGACCCACTTTGCTACCTTCTTCTCTCAGTTCCTCTATATAGTTTTCTATGTTCATTGATCGTCATAGGTAAGATTAAGTTTGTCTCTGTATTTAATATCTTACTATCGGATTTTTATGAACTGTATATTTTTCAGGATTACGGCTGCCCGGTAATGTTCCCTTTTTGTTGAGGTCTTTTAGTGTCTTATATGGGTGCACTCCTTGGTCAAATATCGTACATAGCATTGCATGCGTCTTGGCATTGTTGTACGCTGTTTGATAACAGATAAACATTAGAACAAGGAGAAGGTATTTCCAACAGGCCTGTATGTCATACTGCCCTTTAGCTGTGGACCGTGCAACAGAATCTTATCGTAATACTACTTATCTAAATGGTTGAACCTCATCCGGAGATATGTGCCACAAAATTATCTTCGTGAAGAGCTCGTTGAGCACACTCACCAACGAAATCGAATGGCTGTTGGGAAGATCAGTTCGGTCACCACCTTTCTATAGAATGACGGTGCGCGAAGCCCTCCACTGATTGGCGATCTTCTTTTTTTGTTTTTATGCCGGATACTATCTACAATTCGTGGATTCTAAATGTGAATTTGACTGTCATGTTACCTAGCTCGAGAATTGCCTGGATTCAAGATTCCTATTTAAATTCAGTCTTTGTCGAAAATGGTCGAAATTGCTCTTATGGTCGGAATTCTAGGGTGTGATACGGGGTTAGTCAGGTGACAAAGGTTAAAGGAGAATTCGGCAGCTGATGTTTATTACCAGTTCTGCTTTCATTGCGGTCAAACTATAGTTCTTTATGCTCTTATTGAACAAACTGTGAAGCTTTGGTTTTTTTCTGTTCTCGAGCAACCTCGTAATTGAAGGATGGAGACGCATTTGGCATACCTTTTGAATCCTTCGACGACCAGCTCATGGGCGCACATTTTTCGAAGCACAGAACAGATTCAGTTCGTTCTCACTAAATACCCATGTTGATTAGTAGCAATTAATGACACTGGTCTTCGTTTGCACCGTGCATTGAAGACGAATGATGGCCAAACGAGTTTAAAGGATCTTCTGCGAGTCTAGTGGTGGGCAATATATGGGTGGTCGATAAGCCTATGACACCATTATTTTACTATGGGAACCATTCTTTACGTTTAATAGCGGTTTCGTCGTTTAGCTGGCATATATCGACTTTTTTGCTTTCTGTCTCTTGTAGTGATACTACGTACTGCTTCAAGTATTTAAAACGTAGGGCCTGAAGTGCATTGATTTCCACTCATACGGTGCGAAAGTGCAGTTAGCTCTAAGTGAAATAAGGTCTGTTAGAATGATTTCCACAAATATAATATGAAGATCTCCTATTCTACCTAGATGAAGTCGTGGATTTATAGAGCACAGAAATTGCTCATTTGGAACCTTTTTGCCGAAACTCTCATTTCGAATGTGAAGATGATTGAACAATGGGTATTTCGTTCATTATAACAAGATAATCTCCTCAAATGTTGATGTTTTTGGCTGCTCGGATTTCGTTCAAAATTTCAAAAGCGCTGTTAAAATTGTTTTCATTTCTTTTGAAGGTCCTACTTCTAAATAACTATAAGGATCTCATAACAGGTTTAAGGGAACTATACTTGCTGTTGTAGATAGAACGAAATTTCTTCTATAAGCTAATCACGTTCTCAATTCATTAAATCATCCAGCTATCGGAAAATCACCAGCAGTTTCCGGAAAACCAGTTTCAAGTTTTAACTGTTTATGATCGGAGATGGAAGAAAGAGGTTTTCTGATGGTGTGTAGGTGCAGAGCAAAAAGCGTTCTCCAAGAATTGTTGATGACATGTAGTCCAGGTGCTATTTAAGACATCGAATCTGTTTTCATCGCCTTTCGATTGTTTTGTCTCTGTGAGGCGTAATATACTGTTGTGTGAGGTAATGAAGCTGGTTTAGTTCTAGTTGAGCAATTTGTTTGTTGTTCCTTAGAACCCCAAATTAACCTTGCGAGATGTTTCCGGTTTTTTACACCAAGCATTAATTAGCCTTCGTAAATCAAACTGACATTTTGCCTAACACTAGGATTTTTCGGCGATGGAGCGTTTCATGTAATTAATTAATCTCCAAACGGGACTCAGAGATGATTTAAAAAGTATTTGAGTATATAAACATGATGTTGACAAGCCGCACGAGGATCATGCAAAGTGGGGTGTAACAACCCGAGTCGTTATTCTTAAATTTTATAACTTGAAATAAGAGGAAGTACTGTGGTTTTCAGGGTGCTGCAATCACCCGGCAGCCTTCCCTAATCCTCTATGCATACGACGTCACAACAGGTGTGGTTGTTGACATTGGAGATCGTTTAAATATTGTTCCTGTTATCGATGGTAAGCCTTTACAATTTCCCTTTTGATTATTTATACGAAAACAACACGCTCATGCAACCAGATGGTCTGACTTAGGATATGTGGTCGGGTCAGCAATTTGTTCAATACCGTATGGAGCAACACAAGTTCGAGAAGCGTTGAGGACTACATTGTGTTCTAACAACAAAGGGCTGTATTCATTCCAGAGTCCTATAGAAAAGCTGATTCTTCGATATGTGCTTGAGCAGGTACGAAATGGGGTGTAAGCACGTGAGTGAAGAATTCATTTCTGAAGGGTGTGATAGAAACGGAGTCATCTATTCCTAGACCAGGCTTTTCCGTCCATTCGTCTTATACGATACTCTCATAAATGTTCCTAAAAGCAATCTAGTCTAATATTTTGTCCTATTCGTGAGCTTACACGAGGTCATAAAACACTTCATTATGGCTGTTTTGCGCCTTCATCTTCTTCAAAGCTCCAATGATTCGAGCGCTCGCTGCAGATGTCCTGCACCGAAACATTTTTTCATTAGTCATAGAGAACAAAATATTAGCTATTGAAGCCAAGGTTAAAGTTAGTTGCTCTTCAAGATACGGGCTAGTAATTTACTGTCATTGAAGAGTACAAGTTCTCGTTATAGGCTATTCTCCATGGTCGACGAGTAAGTATGTATGGTTTCTGTACATTAGTGGTTTAATAAAAACTAGACTAAAGTAGTAAAATAGTAGTCAAGTGTGGTCACTGCAACGTGTTTAACTTAATTCAAATTGATTCGACTTTTAGACAAGTTATGTGCCTGACGATTACGCACAAGAGGAAAAGTCTTCGAAAGAAGTTTATGTGTCTCTCGACAAATTTGATCCTTTGCCAGGAATGTTGACGAAATTTAGTGTGAGTCATTTTCATAGTGCTACCCTTAGGTTTTCTATGTTAATGCTAATGCTAATTAATGCTAATATGCTATGCTAATACTAATTAGGGCGCGTGTAGCGTTGTGATTGGAGGTCCCTACAATGGACACGTAGTTGTTGGTTCGATTCCATGCCCTGGGTTCAACAAGCCTTCCATCCCTTTGGAGTCGAAAAATTGGTATCACACTTGCTTGGGAAGATTGCAGCACTGTCTTGGAACATCGACGGGAGACACTACAAGTCTCTTTACAGGCAGACATGCACTCTGCCACCTCTAACGATGCTTAGTGTAAAGTCGCATGTATGGCGCATCCATTAGGGGTTGATCAATCCTGAGAGCTTTATCCTTAAACTTTTATGCTATAAATCAACATATTAGTTGTAAACAAGGAGTTATTAACTTCTTTTCCTTCCACGACTTCTTCTACACCTGCTGTGTGGATTCCAGCACTTCTCACATTTGATTCGTTCTCTCGCATCCGTCATCCACGAAAGTCTCCCAACTTTCACTTATGGCTTCGGCTACTTCTTGAGGATTTTCATTTCATCTTGAGTGTAGTAGAATGCTGGTCGAGTTCGATTCCTCCTAGAGCCCCGAGATAGCCGGGATAGAGCGTTCCCACTTGGATTGCAGAGAGTGATTTTTCCCCGAACAAGTCCAGCATCAGTTTCCCAACCGGTGAGAGGCTTGATGTGCCCGGAGCGTGATCGAACCAGCACTGTGCTGATGATGACCGGCACCACATCCAGTGAGCTAGCCGCCTCCAATCATTAGTTATGTTATTATTATTAACTAGGTTTGGTAGCAGTGACAGTAATGGAATAACGATCTCGCTAACGAAGATACAGTATTCGCTTCATTTCAACATAGCTCTTATTCGAGTTCTTTGAGCGCATAAACATAATCAAAAAAAAGTTGTTGAAACTATAGAATAAGGGTTGTTGACAGTGTTGGAGTTAGTGGTTGTATCTACCTACCCTTATTCTTATTCATTTTATTTCAGATCGACAGTTCCCGGTTTCTTTGTACAGAAGGTCTTTTCCGACCGAAAAAATGGGGTCTTGATACGAAAGGACTGCACCAGCTTGTACACGAGGCTGTTCAGATGAGCCCAATAGATAGCAGGAGGACGCTGTACAGGTAATCACTGTCAATTGTGTAAGTCTCGATTACTTCTTATTCAGTCTTGTGAAATTTGGAGAATAAAACGAGGCAAAATTCTATGGTGCGCTCCGCAGTCGCTATATTAGAAATCTTCCTGGTCTGGATTTTGTCACTCCTGCTCAAATGTTGTAGAAAGATATTTTTAGGAACATCTATCTTGCTGGTGGAGCATCTTTATTGCCAGGCCTAGCTGAAAAGCTAGAACAAGAACTTGCAGCTATCGTACCGAACACTATTCACACACAGGTGATTTTTCTAATCATCTCACACCAGTAGTCAAATAATTTTTTATTCTTTATGTAGATTAGAAGGTCAAAAGTGAAATTCTGCGACATTTCCAAAGTTGTTTCTAAAAACTACAAAGGAATGCAGGTAGACGGTAGACTTTTGCGTTTGAATGTGCCAGAAACGTGTTCTCTCATGTGAACATTCACGAACACTTGAACAAGTTTGGCCACTGAAATATTTGACGCGGATTCTTCAACAAGTTTGATGAAACTGACACACATTAAAATACCAGTCTTAAATACTGTGTGAGATCATGCGTGATAACGAGGCGTTCTCCCTGATGTTCATTTCCTCATTCTTGAAATTTATCCAGAATTAAAGAATAAAAGGACAAAGCTCTTATCATTGATCAGTCGCTGAGAGATACGCCGTGCATTCAACATCATTAAACATTCTTTGGAAGTAGTTGGATGCCTGTCGGGCCTTTACAATGATTCGCCTTGCCTTACTGACGTATCGAGCTAGTGCTGCTATCCTCCTACACAAGTCTGGAACCAATATTTACCCACCTCGGAGGTATAGACGGCTTGCTGGGCCTGGAGAGCGGGGATCGGTCCCTTATGTATTGCAAGTCTTCTCCGACCACTGCGCTACACGCGCCATTAGTCCGAGACAACTTAATAATATTTCATGCATTTTTACGTTTTAAATCGCACTATTCCGTTCCACCCTTGTACGCTACTATTTGGAACGCTTATTCCAGGTACATATCTCTCCGTGGAGATACAACGCTGCATATTTGGGAGCACAGATAGTCGCATCAGCAGCAACGTTCAGTGATAGTTGTGTTTCGGTCGAAAACCTACCAAAATTTTTATCAAATCTGCAGTCTTCTTCGTTCTAAAGGTCTCGAAAGAGTTGCATTGGCTTGAAATTTTAGTTAATCGTGATTATACATGACTTACGGAAAATACATGTGGTGTATTGAAGGTTCGAGCTGCCCATTTGTAACGTAGTAGTAATATTGTTAGCATTTCCACTGCGTAATGTACTACCTACTCAGTTGTGTCGAAGATATTCATCAACGATGTGATACCATATCGAAGTTTAGCCTTTTTTCATTATTAAATTTTATATAAAGGTTTATCGTTTCTTGAATTCATATCGCAGCATATATTCTTGAGATGCCACAGAATAGAGCGGATTGTGTTTGCGGTACCTTTAGGATTGCCTTATGTTTTTATTCTCTCAAGGTGTGCCTAACATATAATATATCAACATCAGAGTTCCGTTCGCATGTCACAGTGCTATGAACAACGGCTGGGAAATACGTCTGCTCATCTAACTAGGGAGGTTGTTCACAATATAAACATAGATCCTAATCTTTTCCATAGCCTCCTCCTCCAGGCGTCATTATGGTAAGGATATCCTGAAAGGGGTTACTATCTATGTGTTTACTTGGAGACAGCTGCGAGTCAAAAATGATAACTCACTCCAGCTTCTGCGTTAAGGCTAATTTTTCCACCAAGATTTACGGTACGAGATTGTCTCTTCAACACATTAAGGCCACAAGCACCACTCTGTCCACCCTTAAGCCCATACGGGGCAAACACTCTGAACGACAATGATACAGTTAGGACACGCTACATTCTATTCTTCCAGAATACCTTCGTTCAGTAAGAAGTGATAACGAAAGTGGACGACGAAATTGCAAAGACCGTACGACGCCATCACCACCTCGCCATTTTCCGTTCCCTCCAGATCCTTTGCGAATCGAGAACTCACGGAGAATTACTGGATACCTAGATAAGAGTAGCTGTGGGCTAATATAGCAAGGCATTGCCATACCGGTACAATACTGAGTTTGCACTATATTAAACACCTGGATTTTGCGAACCAACCTGCTCTCTAGAATTTCTGGGTCGGTTATTCTCGTATTCGTCATATGTGTGTGAACTCCACTTCTACCATTAAATCCATTACCTGCACCTGCTCCTCCAGCAATTGTTTCATAATATCCCATAGACTCATCTCCAAATGTCACATTATTCATACAACCTTGGAAAAAAGAGCGGTAAGATGTAGGCTTTTTTTTGATGTGTGCTGGTAATTTTTCGATAATCACGACAAACGAGGAATTGAGAATTTCATACTTGTATAGAATGGTCCTTTAAAAATGTCCTCTCACCATTATTTCTAATGCAAACAATATAACGCGGCCACAAATAACTATGGACACCACCGGATTATCTCTATGAAATACGGCCCTATACGGAAGAGAAAAAAAACAGGATCACTGGGTTTCATAATATGAGGATTTCGTCATAATTTAATGGAATGATTTGTTTTTACTGGTATGTCCTCCCCTAGTAAAATCCATTAAATCCAATAAAATAAAATTCACTTTCTGTATCCGCCAAAAACAGCAAACAATTATTACCTTAGCCTAGTGTGAGTGGAAATCAATTCAGTCGGTCTCTCTTAATTGGCTAGAATACTCTACCATAGCAAAATGCTGGTTTTCTGGAGCCCAAAAATCGTTTTCTCCATTTTCATTGTAGAGAGTCATACCTTGAGTAACGGAGCTGAACGATAGGGATTCACAAATGAAGGAACGATGGATGGAATTCAGCAGTTCAGTGGCATACTCGGATTCATTAATGTCGGAATTTGCGACTTATGCGCCAAAAATTGTAACGTATAAGCACCGACGGTTCGGTAAAGATCAATTTTTCACAGTGCGTGTTATGAATTGAGATCAATCCATACTCACCACGCACACTCTGATTTAAAAGATTTAAAAATTGCTTTGGACTAGTTATACATGCATTACATCGACAGGACAAAGTCTTCTCTATAAGTTTCCGCACTCATGAAGTAGTTAACGAAAGTTATTATTGATTACGGAAGCGCTCGCCCACTCATGATTGCTCTGAATGGGATAAGTGCGATCCACTGTTGAATTAATAAGTATGGAATATTGTGATATCACCACAGTGGTGCTGAAACGTTCCCAAAACTTCTGGTCGCAGGTGTCTGCGGTGGTGATCCAACATACTACTACCCTTTCCGAGGGCTAACGCATTCACCACCACACTATGCGGTTCGTTTCGCCTTCTTCTGCGGTATCAATTAATATAGTACGTCAATATATCAATAGAGTGATATCTACTGAGTACCTCGACATGAAGACTGCAGTAATTGCTATCTAGATTGAAGTGATATTGGTAGGACAAAAAAAAACCTTGGCTGGCTGAAACTGCTTCAAATGCCCCCAATATCACGTCACATATCCGTTGACTAGTCAACACATTTCCACCGACTACAGCTGCTAATTCGGATGAAGAAAGCAGTGTTCCATCAGGGATCGAGATCTAAATAAACTGCGAATACATCGCCTACATAAGAGTTTTTGGTTCTGATTAAAACCTACGGTAATAGGAAGCAGACAACCGCTGTTCAGTGGAATATCCTTTGCCACCAGACACCTTAGGCAATATATAATAGCTGACATAGTGACAGCTCTAGGACAATTACATGATGAGAACACTTCCATCCCAGTGCCAGAGAAGTCGAATATGGCTTCGCCCTGATATTTGATAAGTTTTAACCTCTAAACTGACAAATTCATAAAAGCTCAAAATCATAACCATCAAAAGTTTAACGGAAATCGGAACACAAACGGAAAATGCTAGAACACACTTTTTGCTAAGCAAGTTCTATTTTCATGAAATATCGAAATAAAACTGACACCTAAACGGTGCAAATGACGCCACGCAACATTTGTCATCGCCACCGGTGTTTTAAAAAACAAACAATGTGAACAACTGAATAAATGTGAATTAAATGAAGCCGCTAGGGATTGAAATTGTGTTTCTTCACAAAATTCGTTAAAGCATTTTTCAGCGAAATTTCAAAATCACTCCAAGGCTTAAGTAGCCCTTTTCAACTTTAAAATCCAAAAATCTCCACAAAATGTTACATTCTTGACGAAAGGAACAATACTAAAATACTAACCCCTAAATGCGGCAAAAGTTCAAACCTTCTCAATATCAATTGTGATAGCAAGTTGAATCTTAGTGCCATCATCCATGGAATCGCAAGCATATAGACATGTGCTCCCAGTTTTCTCGAGAACATTTCTTCCTACCTAAAACTGAACTTGCTTAGATTGGAACTAAACGCATTTGCAGCCACAATGATGCTGAGACAATTTAAACCTATTATTTACTGTCTACTCTTTTTTTAATGGCAGGGTATATTGCGAAATATAACCTCAATGATGCTGAGATATTTTTAAAACTCCATACCGCAGGTGTCTGCGGTGGTGATCGAACGCGCTACTGTCCTTTTCAGGGAGTAACGCGTTCACCACCACACCATGCGGGTCCTTCGTTTGTCCTCTCTGAGCTAGTTTTCTATCCTATCCTGTCTTCAAAAGTTGTAACTGGCAGCAAATAAAGGGTTAACATAAATGTATTCGGGTGTATTTAATTCATCTGATTGAATGTATTTATATCGGCCACAGGTCTAAAGTAGATTGACAGACCTCTTTCAGCATTTCCCTCACACTTTCTTCGGCAGTAGACTGGATATGTTGCATGTACGCTTGCACTACATCAAGACCATACTCACTTATCAAGTCACAAACCAAGGAAATTCCCTAGACAAACATTACCTTGACAAGCTGGTTTAGAAATCTGACAACTTGTACGAACTACCACTAAGTCAAAATAAGACGAATAGTTGCAATAAACGTTGTCGTTCAGCAGTAATCAACATTAAGAATGAAATCGAGTTTAACAATAGAAATAATGAAGTAAAATAGAAATATGATTTCCGTTCACCTATGTTAGAACCTACAATCTTCGAAAGCTCCCAATGGTTTGCCGCCTCATTGTGGGAAGGAGTTGCTCCCATATGTCGGGATGTGACGTACAGCGAGGTGATTTATTCTCTCAGCAGGGCCTCCCAAGATGAAAAGGATTCCTAAATTCCCTCAGGAAACCCAGCTGAGAGTAAGCCAATACCATGGTCCACCACCGTCCTGATAATAAACTAGTGATACTAGTAGCATGGTGGTAAATCTCCCTCCGATCCACAAGTGCGAGGACTGCCTGTGATAGTGACGGCCTGGGGCAGACTTTGACCAGTGGCTAAACGAGCAAAACTCCGAAAAATGGAGAATATGCCGGCGTCCGCACAACCAGTGAGGACGGCGGACCGTCCAATCAACCAAATATCTTAGAACGGTGAAATGAGCTCATCACCTTATTGTTGGCAGCAATCTGCGCTTTCACATCAGCGATATTGTCGGCAAGATTTCGACTTCCAGAGCAGCCTCAATCTCGGAATAGTACAATGTAACACTTGCCATGAACAAATGAAACAATTTAAATAAAACTCACCACTAACAGATCCCGGACTTTTAAAGCGTTCTATGAGGAGATCTTCTTGGAAAACACCTTTGCTTACGACTTTGAAAGATACGAATGTAGCCCCCTCCTAAAGATAAATCTTGCACCAACTAAAAAACCAAAGATGTTAATAGTACGAAGGTCGACCTGTTCCAAAGAAGTGGCATGAGGAGGCATGCTTCCAGGGACAAGACCACCTATGTCTGCGTGATGACCGCGATTGGCCAGGAAGAATACGGGCTCGGTAGCGTCATCGAGGAATACCTGAAACCGAAGGATGCCAAATATTGGTAATGGTCGTACAACAAAAGGTGTTTAAATTACGTCCGGTCTAAAAAGGTGGGGGATCGTCTCGAAAAGTACCAACCGGTGTGATAACCGTCAGATCTGGAAGATGGCTTCCACCAGCGCGTGGATGATTGGAAAGAATAACATCGCCCTCTTTGATTGACTGTAATCCAAGACTGTCAATTTGGTATCGCACAGCATATTGCATACCTCCTAAAACTCTACATGTCCAATAATTATCTGATGAGCTGCAGATAAGTTCTTAAGCGTGTACCTAAATGCACAGGAATATGAGGCGCGTTCGCGATCAGGCCACCAGTTGAATCGAAAAGTGCACAAGAAAAGTCAAGGCGCTCCTAAAACACAAACTGAGAGCAATATTCTGTTTCGGGAGTTGAAAAAGAGCCATTTAGAAAGATGTCCAGCTGGAATTTGTCAAACCTTAATGTTAGTCGATATTGCAGTCCGTTGAAGAACTCGCCCCATTTGTTCTGCTATGGACATGAAACGATTAGAAAAGATGGACAGACGAATGGGATCTATCTGTAAGCTAAGTACATTGATTAGAAAAATGTATATATATATATATATATACATATATATAATATATATACATATATACAAATAAACAGGTTTTGCGGATTAAATGTATGCGAAACAAGATATGGCACATGTTGCACAATTGTTAGATGCCCCTATCACGCACATGGTCTATACACACTCGGATACTTGAATGACCCATCCTCACTAGTTTTGTGGTCTCCAGCAAAATTTCCTTTTTCAGACCCTTGCTGATTTAGCCACTGTGGTTCTCTGAAGTCTCGAAGTAATCTTAGCTAACGTCCGCACTAGGTCGTCACCACCACAAGCAGTTGCCGCCTTTGTGGGTCAGAGATTTGCCACCAAGCCACTAGTTTGATGCCTAGATGGTGATGGATCCTGGTATTGGTTTACTTGTCGCTGGACATTCCTCATGGGAATGCCGGACACCTCAGTTTGGAAGACCCTGGCAGGGAGATAAATCTCCCACTGCACATCGCACCCTGAAACCCAGGAACACCTTCCACTCACGATGAGGGGTAAACCATTGGCAGGGATCTATATATAACTTCACATATATTGTGTTATAAAGGATATACACATATACAAAAAAAACAAACAAATACAGAGGTATACGTAAAGTATGGGGGCGGGTGTGGCACAGTGGTGGGAGGGGCCTTGCGACACACATATGGGATCGATCTCCGCGCCCGTGGCTCACCAAACCTTCCAACCTTCCAGGATCGGAAAAATTGTTACCAGGATAGCAGCACTGGCTCGATATATCGGTAGGCCACTGAGAGTCATTGTAAAGGCCAGATATGCATTCAGTCACCTCCAGCGATGCTTAATGTAGTCGAACGCATGGCGCATCTCTCAGAGATTGATTAACGCCGAGAGCTTTATCCTTTTACACAAGATATATGCTTATATACATATCTCTATAATATAAAAATATATATAGCATATATATAACATCGTGATACCTTTACATTGTCTAATCCTATCTTACCTCTACATTGAAACTAATTATATTCTTCAGACTCATGCCAAACCTGTGTTCCTATACGTTGAGCTTCTTTGCTACAAATATCAAGACGAATGCTGCCATCCGTGGTAATGACAGCTGAACACAAGGGCTCCACTACTATTGTACTGTAATATTTCATTCTATTTTTTCTACTTTTGTCGTAAAAGAATAATACGTCTGTTGAGAGTTTTCACCTGTTTTTATCAAGGATGATTGCAGGCCCACGAAGAACGTGCCCAGCTAGAAGATCCTTTTTTTCGTAAACAGCTGTTTCTAGAAACCGACCCTGAAATGTGTGTTCCAGATATCTTTATGTATGCTGCAAAATGGCCTCAAAAATGGCATTTTGACCCAAATAAAATAGTCCCATAAATTCGATATTAAACCTACAAATTTCACAACGCCGTTCTTTAGCTTTTCTAATCTGAAAAGTTTCCAGTGTTATGTTCTTGCTATCCAGAAAAAATTACCTCTTTCACCTGTTTATCAACTTTTTGATCAGCACCATCGCAATTTGACTTTTGCAAACGGATAACTAGCCTCAAAGAAAGTCTTGGTAGATGTCACGGGCACTGCACTATTAGGATCGGATGCCATTTCGATAAGTTCATCATTTTTTATGCAAGATGAAGATATTCCTCGTACCCTAAAATTTAAACTGGAGGTACAGAAAGTTATCCGTAACGTCACTTTGTATCACTCGCATTTATATTAACCACTATTCTTCATCGAGTTACCTACCGAATGTCATCAACAATCACTTCACGATCTGCCAATACAAAACCAAACTCTCGTTTGTAGTTCGCATTGAAAGCCGTCATAAAGCACAATAATGTCTCGGGATTCTAGAAAACAATACGTCTCAAAAAAGCGAGTCAAGAAATTAAGCAATTTATGACAAAGGCATCACCGTCGAATCGTAGTTGCCCATAACCATGATGGCGCAATCTGTCCTTGCATATCTCATATGTAGAAATCGCTCAAAATGGACGCTATCACATCCTTGTTCTTTGAGACGTTTCTCAGCCCGTTCTGAGAGCATGGCGAACCGCTCGATAAATAATGGCATGGTTTCTAAAAAACTAGAAATTTTCCATTTGAAAATTTCCTTACCATAACATAACACAAATATCCGACTAACCACGACAAAACACTAGATTTACTGGTTCCTGGACTTCGCTCACCACTTCAGCCAAAGCAATACCATAGGCTGACAGAAGACTCGAATATTTATGGATTAGAACCGTGCGAATACCTTGAACACAACGCTATATTATTGGGTTAGTGATAAAGCTTATTTTGTTTCGTTCACTAAAACCTATGGTGTTTTCCACCTTGCCCTCCAGACTCTGCACCCTATATTTACCACTTATTCAGATCTCTAGAGAGAAATTTACGGGTTAGACTGATCAGTTCTTTGGGGATCGTGTAGTTATTAAAAATATGACAAGTCATCGAACAAAGCAGTTTAAATCTCATGCAGTTTGAAGTAATTAAATTTTACAAGAGAATTTTGATAAAAATAACGAGAATAAAGGGGTAGGAAATTACACTTGGTCCTTTGACTACATAACACAAAGTGTGCATACTTTAAAGAGAGGTAAGCAAAGAATTTCTATCCAAAATCTTTAGTTAGTTCGATATCGAAGGCTCCGTTTCACGAAGTCATGAGATTTTAACAAGTTTTTCACTAGACTTGTTTATTATTTGTTTGGTCAAATTTTCCGTTCTGTAATCCAAGAGCTTCAGGACGTTCCTGTGTTGCCACAAAAGCAACCACTGGCCTTTGTTGCTTGAAGAAAAGTCAGCAACCAGGTGACTGTTTCTTCCAGGAGAGCGGTGATTCTTGTCATTGTAGATGTACTTCCGGAAAGTATTGTAGAAACCGTTCTCAGCTCGTGAAGCCCATCGGGAAATTCGAATCCCCGCCCCTCCATGTATATTGACACCTAGGAACAACATCAACTACAATGAGGCGACAAACCACTTGGAAAGCATATAATTGATTTTGAAAACAATTTTCAACGCGGATATCAATCAGAATTCAACGCTTTGAAACAACTACCCAAGAGTTGTGCGATGGCACATGCGTGCTGTCCGCCCGCCCCTCCAAAACAAGCAAGTACGTGAGCCGATGTGTCGAATCCTCGAGCCTACAACTTCAACAGCAATTGAATGCTGACGAAAGAACGAAACTTCAGCATCCCAAAGATTTAACAATCAGCGAACCTGGGTAAGGGCACGGATCGGACGACACATTTCTTCATTTGCCACTGCAATAAATCCTAACGCTACCTGAAAATACAAAGAGCAACTGGAAATTAACTGTTTATTAAATTGGATGTATAACGTTGGAAAAGTTCCCAACTTTCATGATACCTCTTCAACAGTGTAAGCTTTATCAATGCTATCCGCATTCTTCCTTAAATATTCATTGATACGATTCGTAAACTTTTCCATAGCGGTGTACGAAGCATCACTAAAAGTGATTTTTTAACTTCAAGGCGATTATAACAGATAATCGAGAACAGAAATGAACTATGTTCTAACAGACCTATCCAGAGCTTGATCAGATTTAGGACCGAATATTTTAGGGAAATAGTCTGGCAGAATTCTCCCCAGTACAAGATTTGCATCGGTGATTGATAAGTTCCTGAATACAATTAAATGAAAACAAGCAGTTTACAAAGAAGGAAGAGAAACCACTTCTAGTACCAATGGTCTCTAATACAGATAATAAAAAGTCAAAAAAAAATCAGTAATGCGCGACCAACCATCATTACTATCAATTATAAATGATAAACCATAAAGCTTTCGGCGATGATCAAACCCTGATGGATGCGCAATGCATTCGACTTCATTAGGCATCTTTTGGAGGTAATTGAATGCACACATGGCCTTTACATGATTCGCGTAGCCCACCAATGTATTCGATTCTGCTATCCACCTAAACAAGTCCGGTACCAATTTGCCGATCCCGGAGGGATGGAAGGCCTGGTGGGACATGGGCGCCAGGATCAATTCCAGGTGTGTGTTGCACGGCGCATCCGACCACTACGCCACAGGCGTCCTATATGAAAATGGAATACAATACTAAACATCAAACTGGTTTATGCCATTTAAATCTTCCAGAACTGCGTTTTTGAGATTAGCGGAACACGCATCAACAGAGAGATCGATGACCCTAAGAAGAAAAGACAACACGTTGACGTAAAAAACCAGAAAATGAATTCCGAGAGAACAAAGACTCCCAAGTCCGACTTTCTATTAACCTCGGTATTGATTGAATAATTCTTTCTACTTCTGTTCAGCAAACAAGAGGTGTTACTTAATTTCTTTATTTACGTACAAGCTGACGCTTCGGCGGAATTCGCCTTCTTCAGAGCCTGGAAAGGTCAAGTTGACCACAAACAACACGGCCAAACACCTCCATAACCAAACAGAGAAAATGCTGAACTAAAACTTCAATCACATTGAACACAGAGTCTTTGCACACTCACCGCTTTCTCTATGTCTTCCACTAAATATGTTACGTGGAGACCAACCGCTCAGAGTTCACACGGAATCCTATTGTGCCCAACTCATCAAAATAACAGGCTTATATACTGCCCAATATCACACATGATAATGAGACATTCCTCCCTGCGGTTCATTTTCGGATTCTTGGAATTAATCCACAATGCCTCTAGAGTTTTGCGCGTTTGTGTTCTCGATTCTTGCGCGAGAATCGTAACCCTTACTTCGAAATCTTCTCCGTTATGTCTCTGCGTCCTATGTGTGCCTAGTGGAGTATTTGGTTTACGTTTGCCGACTAGGTGTTCTTTTATGTGTACGCAGAGTGGTCTGCCCGTTTCGCCAACGTATTCGTCCCCGCACGTTTTAGAAGAGATCAGATAGACTGTACCCGAACCCGAATCGCAGGGAGGAATGCCTCATTATCACGCGTGATATTGGGCAGTATATAAGCCTGTTATTTTGATGAGATGGGCACAGTACGATTCCGTGTGAACTCTGTGCGATTGGTCTCCACGTAACATATTTAGTGGAAGACATAGAGAAAGCGGTGAGTGTGCAAAGACTGTGTTCAATGTGGTTAAAATTTTGATTCAGCATTTTCTCTGTTTGGTTATGAAGATGTTTGGCCGTGTAGATTGTGGTCAACTTGACCTTTCCAGCCTCTGAAGAAGGCGAAATCCGCCGAAACGTCAGCTTGTACGTAAATAAAGAAATTAAGTAACACCTCGTGCTTGCTGAGCAGAAGTAGAAAGAACAAAAACTGTTTCAACATGTGTTTATATTGTTGAGCTTACACGGGGTTGATACGAAAAGTTTACTCGACTAACGTTTCGACGTCTTCGTTTTCATCAGAGCCGACGATCCTTGTCGATGGTTCAGAGTTGCTCCTCTTCTCGACGTGGCGTCTTCGTCTCGCATCGAACCGGATCTTCCTCAGTTGAGCATCTCGAATGAGCGAACACACCCGCCGACGTTCTTGTGTAACGGGCAGTTGTTGTTGATATGATTGTTAATGTTGAATGAAAAGATTGTTTCGTTGAGGACCACCAAAAATATGGGTCGATGTACTCTCTTAACGCGTAAAACACCTATATGTACACCTGGAGTCAGCTTCCAGATCCTCCAGTGGTCGAACATACGTGCAAAATTCGAAGACTTCCATTAATGGGTACAAGGAAACGAACCGAATGAAACAAGTGCTGGGACCCGCATCACATGTGAAGACGGATGATTCAGACAAATAAGAAGTGCGACCAGCAATAATAACAATGATAAAGTAGTGAAATTGATAATAGTAATAGTAATAATAATAATAACAATAAATGATGACAATTATTGTGACAATAATGACAATAATAACAGGAGTAATAACAATACTAATAGCGTATTCATTTCAAATAAAAAAAAATGAGTGGCTACTTACCCCCCTTTTCGATAGCAAACAGGACCAGGATGAGCACCAACACTTTCTGGTCCAACCATAAAAATACCATTATCGAAGGTTAACCTAGATCCACCTCCAGCGGCAACGGTATTAATCTCAAGCTAGAAGAAAACTTTTTAACATCAGCCTAAGAAATAAATCAGCGCTTTCACTTGTTACCAGAGTCGTAAACAGAAGGGGATTTTTAAAACAAAACTAATCGCGATCTTAGTACCACTTAACGCTTTATGCTTCTGATTGTCTAGTGGATCGGATTTTAACTTAGAATACTATAAAAATGGTACTTTAAATAAAGCTGGTCTCTCTTCTAGTAGAGCAGGTTTAGTAAATAACAAGTTTCATTTCTTCCTAATAAAATATCCACACAAATAGAAAAGCAAGGCAAACCTGTGGTGCTTGGATGGTAACGCCAGCGGTAGTAGTCTCCATAACATGTTCAAGTGCACCCGAATATCTACAAACCTAAAATTAAGCACATACCTGTTTCATGGTTGTAGTTCAACACCTTGAATAAATTTCAAGCTATTGAAAAGAGGGGACGGGAGGGGGGTACAGTGGTAGGAGGCGCCCCACAACACACATGGGATCGATCCCCATACTCTCCATCCCTCCGGGGTCGGCAAACTGGTACCAGACTTCCCGGTGGGCCACTCCGAGTCATTGTAAATGCCACATACTCATTCAATCACCTCTAACGATGCTTAATGAAGTCGAATTTATGGCGCATTCCTAAAGGATTGATCAACGACCAGAGTTTTATCCTTTATTATTCACTGAAATTAGAGACGATAACATGTTAAATTATGGTGAATTACGAGCTGGGGTCAGAATGCCTCTTTCGATATTTTAGAACTAAGATAACACAACGTCACTCCGTTTTTAGAAAGAGCACGTCTTTTAGTCTCTCGTAATGTCCTCGATCGGCTGATCGACTAGTCGTATGAGCTTGTGCCGTTCTAAAAAACGCATTGTCTCAATTCACGACAAAAAGTGGGACATTTCCCTCACATCGGCAACGTCCGGAGACTGTTTATATTAAGGAATTACGAACGTCCTAGTACTTCGCATTGCTCGATATTTCAGAAAAAAAACTACTCTCCATCAGAAATTCCAAAAAACCACTCTCTACCATCATTCATAGCATTGAAGAAAAAAGACGAAATCTCAAACCAAACCCTAAGCCATACACGAACCGGATCGTTCCCACTGATAACAGTTACAAGAAAACGACACGAATAGAAGTGCTGAGAGCCGAAAGACATAGAGGAACAGGGATCTAAGAGTATTTAAAAGCATTCGTTTACAAAAAAAATTGCCTTGACAACGACATCACATTTCTAGAAAGTAGCAACTAAACTATAACAATTGTCGAAGAGCTCAGCGAAGTAGGTGAGAAAAATGATAAGACTGCGTTAGTTTATCGGTAGTAGAATTAGCTCGTGGAACAAACCAACATGGGTGATTTTTATTGCAAAGGTCACATCTACACGGCATTGAACCAAGTTAAGCTGAGATTATAGTCGATTTGGGCTCCCCAGATCAATCCCACTGACGGGTGATTGCTGTTGGCACTGATCGATAAAACTAGTTGAGAGATAGGTGAAACGAAGGACACGCATAGTGTGGTGGCGAACGGGTTAGCCCCCGTAAAAGGTAACAGTGCATTCGTTACCTACCGCAGATGCCTGCGGTCCGGAGTTTTGCAAATATCTCAGCACCATTACATTACTGTTTTCGTTTATGCTACACATGACCGCGCAACCAACTGTTTCAGTGTTCCATTTTGTATGTAATAACAAGGAGTAAAAAATGAAATGTTTCAACTCACGTCAGTTGAAGTGCCTCCCATATCGAAACCGATCACTGGTCTTTTCGTCGTCATGTCATAAGCAGTGAGGGCGACCCCTATAACTCCACCAGCAGGTCCCGAAAGAATGGCTTTCGAACCACAGAAACTATAGCAGAAAACTTGGAAGTGAAGCGTTGAAAAAAGCCATAAAAATCGACGACACAAATTGTCCTGATTTGTTCAGAGAACTAATGTTTCAAAAATGCTAATTTCACACTGTATCTATCAAAAACCCACTCCTTAACATTGCACAGACCACCATCGGATTGCATAAAATCCACTCTTACACTTTTTAGCCTGTCAGAAAATCCGGCCTCGAATTTGTTGATATATTCCTTGATTTTAGGAGTCAAATACGCATCAGCACACACTGAAATTTTTTCAATAATCCGATACTTTAGTAATTTACGATGAAACTGCTTCATGACACTGGTAGACGGCCTTTTTGCACAATAAAACTTCAACAACCATCTAATTAGTACTTTTCGACTTTACATGAAAATCTGCTTATAATTGCAAACTCTTAATCACACGTACACCACCAAAGGAAATTAACAAGAATCATAAGTGCATGAAGGATAAAGCTCCCGGCGTTGATCAATCCCTGAGGAATGCGTCACGCATTCGACTTCGTTAAGCATAGTTGGAGGTGACTGAATGCACATCTGGCCTTTACAATGACTCGCGATGGCCTACCGATGAATCGAACCAGTGCTGCTATCCTCCCAGACAAGTCTGGCACCAAAGTGCCGACCCCAGAGGGATGGAAGGATTGGTGAGCCGTGGACGCTGGTATCGATCCAATGTGTACTGCAGTACGCCTCCGACCACTGCGCAACATGCGCCTCTTCACAAGTATGTAGAGTAAGCAAAAAACTGTAAGACTGTGGTCACCTGTGAAACCTCTTGGAACGACTTTAATCATTGGCATGACCTCATGTGAGAGGGAAATATTTGTAAATTCCAATTCACTTGCAATCTTCCTTATCCTTAGCTCATGAACAGGATAGCTATAAAAATCTTCCTATTGGCTTAATACGCCTATGGTACGTTCCAAATTTAAGCTAATTCTAAATAAAAATTCTCACACAAAGGAATGCAGAAAGGCAACTGCTACACTATTGATGCCCTTTGATCTGAGCGACCTCAGAGTCTCTCTTACATCATCGTCGTTTGGTTCCTTCTCCACAATGACCTAAACATAGGTATCGTCTCGTAGGAATCCTTCGAATCGACACTTCCGATGAGTCTATTTGTCGATCGAAATGTCTTCAAATTTCAAAAAGTAAACTTTGAAATTAAATTTGGGAGGAGCAAAACCAGAAAACCAATAAATATAATAAAAACCTTCCTAAAGGATGTTTTTTCTTCGTGTCCAATCTCACCCATGCGACAGCTCTCGTCAAATGGTATCACACGCTCATCCACTTCAATCACTTCTTCATAAAGAACCTATGAATCCTTCTATATAATCGATTTTTTGACTATTAATTAGAGAGAATAGACTAGAGTTCATTACCAACGAAGCAATACAATGAGTGGGGAACGTACAGGAGGAATCTTTATGTCAAAATCGAAGATCCGAGGCCGAGTTTGGTTCCCAATGAATAGAAGATTTTTAAATCCTTTGGTGATAATCAGAGCTATACGTTCGCCTTTCCTTTCCAGTAATGAATTCGTGGCTATTGTTGTTCCCATACGAATCCATGAAATTCTATCTAAAATATTCGAATCTTCTAGCTTTTCTTCCTCTTGTGTTTCATCCAATACCTCTAGGCACATCAATAGATGTGTGATATCCACAAAGGCATAGATGCTATTCACATCATGGGCGTAGAATGTAAATAATAAATATTATTGAAGCCAAAATATTTCGGTATCATATAAGAACGTTCTAGCTTCCGTATCTCTCCACGAAAACATGAAGATGCATATTTATGTCATATTTGTATCTCATTTAATTCCATCACAAACTGAACACTTCTTAACGCTTTACCGCCTCATCGTGGTTAGAAGGTCTTCCTCGGTGTTGGGTTGCGATGCATAGCGGAGGGATTCATTCCCCAGTAAGGTCTCCCAATCTGAGACGGAGTTCGGCGTTTCCATTAGGAAACCCAGCTAAGAGCAAACCAATACCAATACCAGGATCTACCACCATCCTTGCATGAAATTAGTCGCATGGTGGCAAATCTCCCCTGATCCACAACGGTGTAACTGCTTGTGGTGGCCACGACCTGGGGCAGACTTTGACTAGGCCGACCTCGGGACTCCAGCGATCCACAATAGATAAACCAGCAAAACTCCGGAAAAAAAATGGAAATTATGCCAAGCCCGCAAAATCAGTGAGGAGTCATCCAAGTGTCAGTGTATAAACTGAACAAGGAAGGCTATTCAAATGCAATAGAATTCAGGTTGCAGGCTTCCAATCCCATTTGTACACACTTTTTCTCAGCACTCTTAAGTATTTCCAATGGTGACTGCATGATGTGAAAAATAATGGACAAGTCGCCTAATTTCCATTTCCATCAAAGGTCATTCTGCCAATATCAAAATTTTCTTATGCAGGCAGCGAAGGAGAAAAGCACATAATTACTTATGTGTAGGAGAAAATAATCAAGGCATCACCTGTAGGAAGAGGACATCCTCTCGGAATACGAACACCTGTCTCCTGCTCCAGAACTTGTCTGATTGCCTCAGTGGGCGCGTCACTGTAGTTTACAGGATCTTCCGACAATACCTTAATAAGATTCCTTTTTTATAATATCCAGACGAAAAATTCCAAACAGTCGAGCTTCAAGTGGTATGTGGTTCATAAAAAAAATTCCATCGCTTAGGAGGAACATGTTGTCAATTTACTGTGACTTGCAATCTCCCAACGGTTTACCGCCTTATCATGGCTAGGTGTTACTGGGTGTCGGACTGCGATGTACAGCGAGGGATTCGTACCCCCAGCAGGGTCTGCCAAACTGAGAAGGAGTCCGGCGTTTCCATCAGGAACCCTAGCTAAGAATAAATCAATGCCACGATCCACCACCGCCCTGGTATCAAAGTCGTATGGTGGCAAATCTCCATACGATCCACAAGGGCTGCTACTATCCGTGGTGGTGAAGACCTGGAGCAGACTTTGGCCAGGCCGACCTCGGGACTTAAGGAAACATAATGGCTTAACCAGCACACCTCCGAAAAGTGGTGATTATGGTAGGGTCCGCACAACTAGTGAGGACGGGCCGTTCAAGTGTCAAGTGTCAAGTGCAATAACGAACGCATGCGTGTCCGTGCCTATGGTAATTCCCTTCGGTTAGCCGTGACATTTAGATTCCTCGTGTATGCTACCCGACCAAATGTGGGTAATGGAATTGCTCCAATTTATTTACTTTGCCACTTGGATGGCCTGTTTTAAATGGTTGGGTGGGCCCCAACTTAGTTTCTGTTTTCCCGGAGTTTTGCTGCCTTGTTTTGCTGTACCAATGCGGTTCCCTGGAGACCCAATGTCAGCCAGACCAAAGACAGCCCAAGGTCGTCACCACCGCAGAAAGTCGCCGCTCTGGTGGATCAGAGGAAGACTTGCCACCAAGTAACTAAGTTGATACCAGGAATGCGGTGGATCCTGGTATTAGTATTGGTTTACTCTTAGTTGGACTTCCTGATACAAACCCCGAATTCTTTCTCAGCTTGGGATGCCCTACTGGGGGGATGAATCCCCTACTGCACGCCGCGGTCCGACACCCAGGAACAACTCCCAGCCACGATGAGGCGGTAAACAGTTAGGAGGATTGTTTCAACTACTCCCATGAACTCAACTATCGACAACATAAAGGACATCGATATTCGTTGGTAAGGTGTAACAGAAGGCAACTTTATTGGAAGAAATCAGTTTCAAAAAACGAAACCACCTGGCTCGCCATATGGGCAATCAAACCTCTCCTTTATATTCAAAAACCTTTTGCTATTGTAGTAATACACGGCAACGCATACGACTATTCGAAATTGACCCAAAAATAAATGACCAACTCCCCTGTGCCTATGGCATTTGGTATTACTTGGTACCCATATAAAATTAAATTTACAACGAAATCAAATCACATATTGCTAATTTCAACAACTACTTCAGAAACTTCCGAGCATATATCTACTTTTGGTTGTATTTACTTGCCCTTTAGATTCAAGTTTTTTTTTAACAAATTCCTTTTCTATACAATTTTCAACAACAACAAGGGCGCGTGCAACACATTGGTCGGAGGCGCCCTGCAATACGTATAGATCGATCTCCACGCTCCAGGCTCACCAAGCCCTCCAACCCGCCAGGGTTGGCAAATTGGTACCGGACTTGTACGTCTGGGAGTATAGCAGCACTGGCACGACCATCGGTAGGCCACCGCGAGTCATTGTAAAGGCCAGAAATGCATTCAGTCACCTCTAACGATGCATAATGAAGTCGAATGCATAGCGCATCGCTCACGGATTGATCAACACGGAGAGCTTTATCCTTTTTTATCCAACAACTTCTGCGCTACGCTAGGCCACTGCTGCTACCACACCCGCGAAGATACGCATTGATTTCAATGTGCACGTGGCGAGGAGGCAAAGCAAACAGTGCTCGTTGACCTCAATCTTTTTCTTTCCGGATGCCTAGAAAACATTTTCAGCTGCGTGTTTTGTACTGAATCGAGAATCCTCTACCTACAAATGTTACGCCAAGTTTGATCCGAAAAAACAACTATGCTATCAATTTAACATTCTGGAAAGGAAAACTATTTCCGGAACGATGTGTCCCTCCAGGCATAGAGGTTGTTGCTAGCGTGCAGTATATTAACTAAGATACCAACGTCCTTCCGCCAGCAACAGTACTGCACATGGTTGAGGTGCCAGTATATCCTGTCGCACAAATACTTCGTTGTCCAACCACATTGCTGTCGGCATTTCAAAGTGCGTTTCTTAAATGATGCTGAGTCCATTTCAGTATTTCTTACACTAGTCCGTTTCACATGATAATCATTTGTAGTAGAAATGCAAATGAAATTACCACCAACCGCTAGTGAAAAATTAACTTTACATCCAACCAATATTACGTCGAGATATTTGCAGAATTCGAACTCGAGGCCAGACTCTCTTAGTTTGCCTTTCTCTTAGCCACTTCTCCACTTAACACTGCCATCGGCAATAACCAATCAGCGGGATTGATCTGGGAGCACAAATTAGCATTGAACCCAGTTAATTAACTTCGTATGTTTTTCAAATCGACTTTTATTAAACCTTGGCAAGAATTACCTACACGCTCTTAGATTACTAAGCAAACACGAGGTTAACAAAACGATTTATTCGGCTTTCCTTCTTATTGACTCGATTCGATGACCGAACAAATCTTTCCGTCAACTTCGTGTTTGCTTAATAATCGATGAAAGTAACTTTTCACGTATGACCAATGACGGACCATGTTGGTTTCTCGACAATTAGAGGGCCTGAGTGGTTCAGAACTTTACAGACATACAAACAGAGTTGCTCCATACTTTCAAGGACATATACTTCTTTCGAAAAACCTTTTATAAACCTAATACCTCTTAAAACTTAAAATCTCGCAGTAAATCAGGATTTTTTCTCGTTGTTAGAAGCTTTAGGTTTTTTGTTCCAAATGAAAGCATTTAAATTCACTATCAACTGAGATGTGGTTGTTTAAAAGTTTAAACGAGCACATTCTTTTAGGTCAGTGAGGAAAAGCCCTTAATTTACGACTCAGCGAGAAGAAATTTGAGGGCGATGTTTCATACTGGTCGCAAAGAAAAGAAGAATCGTTTTCGAAGATTAGCGCGAAATAAGATGTGAACTAAAGACATCTCACTGCCTGTTTTATTACCTGTATAATACTTTAGATAATCCGCAAAACTCTGCATAATCCCCACCCCTTTTTTTCGTGGGCTTGTTATCCCTACGTTGCCTTTCACCACTCTTCTTTGCCTAGTTGTCTTTCCTCTAACTAGTCCACGCATCTCTTTGTCGCTGGTGCTCATGTTTGAAGTTCCCTCATCACCTTACCGTATTTGCGTGTTTATGTGATAGGAGAGCTCTGCGTTTACCATTTTTTGCTGAATCTCACTACTAAGAAATTGAACTTTAGTGGCCTAAATCACATCATTTGATGAATAACTGGTAATCTATCGAGTCGTGAAGTCGAACAGAGGATCTATTTTGGTTTCATTCAGAGAACCAAGGTTCATGGCTTCACGATGGAAGCTTATTTGTGTAATTTTAGAAATTCGAGAAAGACAATTTCGTCGTCACCGACTGGTATTTTGTAATGTTCTGGAAGAAGCCGGTAGCAGCGCCTTATCGTTAAGAAAAAGTTTCTCTAACTGTGATTTGAAAGTTCAGTGTTCAACTACATCAGAGACATCCTTGTAGCCTACTCGCCCTGAACGGTGTCTAGCTAGCGACGAACGAACTCGTGTGACAGGCAGTTTTTTCTCAAGTAATCTCGTAAAATAGACCTTTCCATTTTCGTGCTAAGCCACACACAACCCCTATGTAGGCTAAACTATCGGCCGAGTATGAAAAGTACAGCAAGAAAGCTCTGTGCGGAAAAATAAGCCGCTGAAAACAAACAAAATCTTAAGCTCGACATGTCGTCCAATTTACCCCGCAACCTGTGCAGTGAAATGTGAAATCAATGCGTACGGTCGCGAATCTGATGCAAATACATAGATCCTGCAGCGATTCATTAGTTAGGAGTCGTCACGAAATGTGTACGACTTTGTGAGTATTTCAATAGCACATTAGGGAAAGAAAACCTCACAGTGATAACCAAATGATTTACATAGATAAACTTGTAGCGATGCCATAGAGGTAAGAAAAGTCTGAAACTGGAAACTACCTTCAGGACACTAGTGGTGCCATCTGGCCTGAACACACAAACATCGGTGAAAGTGCCGCCGCGATCGATGGCGAAGCCGTAGCCAGTCATCCGTTGAAGAGATCACTGAATTAGTAGTACTGGCAACATAGGAGGTCCGTAGTACTCATCAATGTCCACAAAAAACACGAATCCTATCAAAAATGTTGCCAAAAGAAGAAAAAGGGAACTGGTCAAAGGCCGGAAGAGGACATGCGGTGATAATCAGAGCGGTTTCGATCGATTACGGGGCTTAGGAAGGAGAGATACGCGACGTGGTGAGCGAAAAACCACCGCGCCCAGAACTGGTAACGCGGGAATTTCTCTCATCCAGTTCAACTTGACAGTACATGCTGGTATTCATCTATTCTGGTAGCACTGCTATATGCAGTACTGGTGGTTAGAAACTTTCCTGTAGTGCTGAAGTCTTTGATGATGGAGTGTTCAGTTCGTGTTTCAATCGGGTTATCGTTTTTGTGCTTAATTGCTCCCATATTTAAGCTTCAATTCGTAATTTTTCCGTCCAATTTTAAGAGATTTCAAATTTAAGTGAGTGCTTTGCAGAGGTGAAACGTAAGACTTGGGACTCTGTTTCTTATGCGATTCATTTCAAGGCGTTTTCTTCCAGATTGGCTACGTAGATTCAAAAATTTGGAAGTAAGCTCATTTTTTCGTTCTTGTTAACCTTACAGAATTCTCTTACTCAAACAGTAAGGTCCCGTATTTCATAGTACTGATTTAGGGGACACATGGGATCGATCCCCCCAAAGGCTGACCAAGCCTTCCATCTCCCCGGAGTCGGCAAATAGGTGTACTAGACTTGTCTGGGAGAGTAGCAGCACTGGCTCAGTACATCGATAGGCTACTGTGGGCCTTTGTAAAGGCCAGATATAGAATCAGTCACCTTCAACGACGCTTAATGAGATCGAATGCCTTTCGCATCCGTTAGTGATTGATCAACGCCGAGAGCTTTATCTTTTATCCTTTTACTGACTTATTCTGGTGGAACCTATACGGTTAATACAGCTTTTCTCATTGATCAGTCTACCTATACATGGGTTTGGTTTGTTAGTTTCTCTGTTTATTGTTTTGTTTTTGATTACGGATGTTTACTTAGGTGTTCCTGTTTAAGTGCTGGAACCTTAGTGAAGTAGAAGAGGCACTGTGCCAGCACACACGAATAGTCTCAATGAAAAATTGGAATGTAATCAGTCTTTATTTAGTGCCTATTCTTTTTTTAATGGCAAGGTATGATGTGAAATGTAACCATGGTGCAGAGATATTTGCAAAACTCCAAACCGCAGGTGTCTGCGGCGGGGATCGAACCTCGTTATTACCCTTTCCGGGGGCTAATGTTCACCACCACACCATGCATCTGCTTGGTTTCGCCTTTGTCTCGCCTGTAAATGCTATTAGCAATCACCTTCTATTTTTACTGCTGGCAACTATTAAATAATCGTAATAGGATTTACGATGGAGTCTTTCCTCTGAACTTCGAATTGCGATAGAAAACGAGGAAGGTATCACGGCTTGACGTCCAGTTAACATTATTGACATTTTCTTAGAGCTGAAAGCCATAAACTATGTCTACTTCTCATAACTTATGTGATATCTTAACTTCGAAAGTAAAGGATTCTTGAGCAGTGCAGGACCTTAAACGTAGTAGTCCTGCTATGGGAGAGTTATCAAGGCGATCACGCAGTTTGTTTACTTAGTGTGATCTACAAGCTCTGCGCCTTTTACGCATATTAGCAGCTTTGGATGAAGTTCAACAAGCTGAGGAAGCAGTAATGCGGTAGAGATTGTGTTACATGGTTCCGCATCCAAAACGTCTGAAATAGTATTCTGTTCTGAATACCATCTACCTCTTGATGTAAAGTTTGTCTATCGCGAGAAATTGTTCGTTGACAAACCTGGCTAACATTTGTTGAAGACCTGTTCTACGTAAGAACTGTGGTTGAGTTCTATCGCAAATGCACCACGCAAATGTAGCTCTTCCCTTGGTTACTCCACTGACTTGTCCCAGGAAGTGTTCCCAGATGGCGACACCGCATCACTAAAGTCACAGTTCTGAATCATCATCGGCAGGTACTCAGTCAAGAATAACCCTTTATGAAAGGGCATTGTTCAGTAGAAGTTACTTCATTCGTGTGCTGCTCCAGTCTACTCGATTTGAATCGATACGACGACAACGAAAACCCATATCCTAAGAATAAGCGGTTCTGGACACTCGACTCGCATCATTACGCTCGTGAAGAAGACGACGCTGCCGACAGGGTGACCACGACAAAACTTTTTATGACAAAGTGGTTTCAGTTTATCAGTAAAATAGGGTACTAAATAGAGATTGGTTGTTTTCGTTCAAGAAGTCAATGGCGTTGAAGGGGTAGCCGCAGTAAACTTTTTATAACAAACCAGTGTTAGTTTGTCGGTAGATTAAGAGATTAAATAGAGGTGGGTTGTTTTTATTACAAGAAGCAAATGCGCCGAAACGGTAGCCACAATAAATGTTTTTGTGACAGACTGGTGTTAGCTTATCAGTCTAATAAGAGATCAGATAGAGATGAGTTATTTTTGTTACAAAAGTCACGTGCTTGCGTTGAATCCAGACTACGCTGCTCATGCCGGCGAAGAATATTTTCTGGAACCAGGAGGTTACATTGGATATGACGTCGTCAAGATCCGGAGCAATACTTATTGTAAACGAAACATGGATGGGGGGACGTTCGTTTAACGGAATGAGTTAGGACTGGTGGAAGAGAAAAACAGTAGCATATATTCAAGATCCTTCATTGCTTAGGAATCTTCCCCTCTTGAAGTTGTTTTGCGGGTTTCGAGAACCGTACGTAGTTTATTTGTAGTTTGAAAGAAGTCGGCTATAATGTTAATTAATCCTGGAGCAGTACCTCTCTTCATGTTTTCTGTTTTAGATTCGAATTTCAGAGGAAAGAATCCGCCACAAATCGTATCATAGTAATTTAAGAATTTTAAAGCTCATTAAAGATAAAGTTGTCGATGCTGATCAATCTCTGAGGGGGTGTTATGCATTCGACTTCATTAACTATCGTTGGAGGTGAGTGGGTGCATATCTGACGTTTACATCGACTCGTGGTAACCTAGCAATGTACCAATGTATCGAGCCAGTGCTACTAACCTCCCAGACAAGTTTGGTACCAATTTGCAGACCCAGGAGGAAACTTGGTGAGTCTTGGGCCGTGGATCGATCTCATGCGTATTGTAGGGCATCTCCGACCACTGCGCTACACGCGCCCTTAATCACAGTAGTAACAGTAGTAGTAAATAGAAAACGGCAAGTAATAGTGGTAATAATGATTCGGCAGCTTGAATATTACCACACAACACAGATTTCACAACATTTTACATTTCACTGAGATTATTCCCATACAGCAGCAAACTGTCTAATCTTTTCATTACAGTTCCAGTACTCGTACAAGAAGAGTTAAAGAAACTTACCCTCGTAATAAAAAAAAATGGCGACGCGTGTAGTGCTTTGGTTAGAGACGTCCTTCAATACACATGGGTTTGATCCCGCACCCCGGGTTCACCAAGGCTTCCATCTTCCGGCGGTTGGCGAATTGATACCAGGCCAGCCTGGGAGGATAGCAGCACTGACTCAATTCAATGGTAGACCATCTCGTATCATTGTAAAGGCGAAACGCATGGCGCATCCCTCAGCGATTGATCAACGCTAAGAGTTTTATCTTTATTCTTTATTAAAAAATGAAATAAAAAATGGAGTTCTTAATCAAATCTAATATATGGTTATAGCAAATGGCAGTGCTAAGGAGCGTGACTAGATCCAAGCAAATGGCGTGGGTCGCAGGGTCGAGGCACAGGTCGCAATGTCTAGTCCTTAAGTAATGAGTAGTGTCTGGTAGTATGCCTGGCGGGGATCCTGTAGTAGATGCTATTCTGTTGCGTATCGATGACCATCACGTATCATTTTCCTCCGTTTCATAGCTAGTGCTTCTCTTAACTGCTAAATTTCATTATACGCGGAAATATATTGCATAGTACTACTTTCTGTGCCACTTATTGAGGTACTTTCCAGGTGCGACTCCCACTCTGAATTTCACGGATGTTCCGCCCCACAGATAGGTATGTGGTTAGTCGTAAATGTGTAGGAAAAAATTCAGTTGTTTCCTCTTTCCGTCGTCAATCTTCTGTATCTACTTTAAAACATAAAGGGTAGAAAAATTAAAGCTCTCGGCGTTGTTCAATCCCTAAGGGATGTGTCATGCGTTTGACTTCATTAAGCATCGTTGGTGGTGATTGAATGCATATCTGGCCTTTACAATGACTCTCGATGGCCTACCGATGAATCTAGGCAATGCTGCTATCCTCCCAGACAAGTCTGGTAACAATTTTCCGACCCCGGAGAGATGGATAATTTGGTGAACCTGGAGCGCGGGGTTCGATCCCATGTGTAATGCAGGGTGCCTCTGACCACTGCGCTACACACGCCCCTCTTTAATACATATGGTGTGGAGATAGCGATAACGTTGAACTCCAGGCCAATTTATTTTAGTTTTTAGTGGATGCCTTTAGTTGAAACAAAAATTTCTAGTTCTATAAGTCACTGCCAACAAAAAAGAAAAGTTTTCTTGTTCTACAAAATCAAAATTTTGACTTCTCCGAAGCTACTAAGTGTACGTTTGGTTGTTTTTATCGTCAGTTTTGATTTTTTAAACATTTTTTGGCATGATCCGATCTCACATGAAACTGTGAAGGTACCGGCACTGCATTCGATTCGTTTCCTCACAAGACCAGTCTTCGGGTTTTTTGCGTGTGGGTTCAGCTATTGCTTGCGAATACATTCGTCTTTGTCACGAATGTCCTCGAATTCTGATCGAGTCGATTTTTCCTGTAATCCTGGAATAGCCGTGCTAGACAGTGCCCACGTGGGTTGCAGGAAGTGAATTGTTCCAGACAACTCTGGTACCAATTTCTCGACTCCAAAGCGGTTACAGGCTTGGTGGGCCCGGTGCGAGGTTGAACCAGCACATGGGTAAATAATTGGGCTGTCCGCTGAATGAACAGGATCACTCACT